TTCCTGCTGGAGACATCTACATTGATGTGTTCGTCGAGGTTTATGGGATGTTCGATTTTGACGCTTTCGCGATGAGACGCCCTCAGGTATCTTTGGTTTCCCATGTGGATGATGACACGGTGGTGGCGCATGGAACGGAGGATGAGATTGCAGCGTGCCTCAGCCGAGCAGCAGCAGATCTCAAGGACATTGTTGTACGCCGTCTTAATGTTCGCCTTGCGGAAGACAAGGCTATGACTTTCGCCTCTTCGCAGCGGTTGGCTACGAGACTATCGCGCCGGCTGCGAAGTTCGCGTCCTTCAGTGGCGGCCAACGCCACGGTCTCGTTGGGGGTCGACCTGGCCCCTGGACAGCGCCGAGCCTGTAAGCGAGGAGGGGCGAAGAGGAGGAGGAGGTTGAGGGGCATGAGACGTCGTCACCATGTGATCTCGCACTATCGTCGCCGACTACCTCGAGATCGTTCGCGAATGACTAAGATCTATATCGCAGGTGTTCGACCAGCCGTCGGATATGGTAGCATGGTCTTAGGCATGTCTGACCCCGAACTACGACCCCTTCAGAGCACGCTCCTTGCTGGGCGGAGTCCTTCTCATGGAGGTGCGTCGCTTGCGGCCAAGCTAGTGATTCATGGCGACCCTGCCTGGGAGCAGTCTGTTGCTCCAGCGCACCAGTGGGCGACGAGCTTGTGGCGTGCGACCGCCCGGCCTGGATCGAGCCCAATTTCATTCCGTGAGCACATTCAGATATGGAGAGATATCATGTCCAGGCCCATGGACCTCACCAGCACGGGGTGGAAGCAATCTCAATGCCCTTTGCACAGGATGCTTCTCCGCCTTCAGAGAATTGGTTGGAGCGCGGACAGTTTTTCGGTCTGGAAGTGTGAGAGGGGATACGTTGTCGATTCACTTTGCACCTCACCCGCCATGTTGAATACGCTACTGCAGGAAGGGGTTCAGAGGTCACATGAGCGCCACCTCGCCCAGTCTCTGCCATTTTTTTTTTTTTCAGCCGCGCGCGTGGCCCCAGATCCTTCACGTCGCTTCTTACGCTCGAAAAAGATTTCGGGCCGTGAGAAGTACTGAATGCGCGTTGCTTTCTCCGGGGGCGTCTGGACAGGGGATCGGCTGAAGGAGTCGGGCTACGTTTACGATGGTGTGTGTCCTCTGGGGTGTGGTATGCTCGATGCCCTAGTCCACAGGCAATGGTTTTGTAGCGCTCCTGCTGTAGAAGAGGCTCGCCGCGCCCATGTAAGTGACGATCTAATTCAGCAAGCCCGGACCGCTGACGCAGCAGGTCTGCTGTTCTGGTCACGCCTCATAGTCCCTCAGCCGGAGCCGCCCCCTCCCAACCTGGCCCTCGACCCCATCCTCCAGGGCCCTGACGGGGAGCCGCTCGGTGTCGACGATTTCTTTGCGCGAACTGTTGATAGCGACATCGTTGTCGACGGTTCGGCGACGCAGTGTGTCTTTCGGGAGGTGAATTGTAGTTCGTATGCTGCTGTCTTTGTGGCACCTGGCAATGATTATAACCTCGTCGCCAGAGCCCTTGGCACGGTCCGGCCTGGCCTTCCCCAGACCCCGCAGTCGGGGGGACAACTCGGGTTAGCTAAATTGAGCTGCCTCGCTTCGGGTCATAGCCACGCCCACAGCGACTGTCTCGGTGCCGTTCGGCTTCATAACCTTAGGCCGCCCGCGCAGCTTGAGCCTCATCAAGTTTTCGCGGGCCTTCGCAGGCGTGCCTTAGCTGAGGAAGGCATGGCCTCGCTGAGTTCAGCGTCTCACACGCCAGCCCATCGGTCAGATGCTGTGATAGCTGCGCTTCCGCCGAGGGAGCGCAAGATAGCCTTTGGTAACCAGAATAGGGTTGCTTAGCCCGGTCGTCGTACTAGTAGGCCTACTTCCTCCTACTAGTACGACCACGGGGCGTACTAGTAGCCGTACGTAGCTGTACTCGTACGCTCGGCCGTGCACGCCGCAATCGTACTAGTAGCCGTACGTAGCCGTACTCGTACGCTTGGCCGTGCACGCTGCAGTCGTACTAGTAGCCGTACGTAGCCGTACTCGTACGCTCGGCCGTGCACGTTGCAGTCGTACTAGTAGCCGTACGTAGCCGTACTCGTACGCTCGGCCGTGCACGCCGCAGTCGTACTAGTAACTGTACGTAGCCGTACTCGTACGCTCGGCCGTGCACGCTGCAGTCGTACTAGTAGCCGTACGTAGCCGTACTCGTACGCCCCGCCCCGCACACAGCCGTCGTATTAGTAGGCCTACGTAGCCGCACTAGTACGACCGTCTCTGCACTCCGCCGTCGTACTAGTAGGCCTACGTAGCCGTACTCGTAGGCCCGCTCCGGTCGTACTAGTACGCGTACGTGGCCCTACTCGTACGCTCGGCCGGGCACGTCGCAGTCGTACTCGTAGCCGTACGTAGCCGTACTCGCACGCCCGACCCGGCACACCACCGTCGTATTAGTAGGCGTACGTAGCTGTACTAGTACGGCCGTTCTTGCACTCATGTTGCCGTACTAGTAGGCCTACGTCGCCGAAGTCGTACACGTAGCCGTACTCGTACGCCCGTCCGTGCACTTTGCTGTCGTATTAGTGGGACGTAGCCGAACCCGCACGCCCGCTCCACTCGTACTAGCATGCGTACGTCGGCCATTTGGGGGATTTTCGGCATATTGGAGGCCTCCGCACCCGCTTCACAATGGCGGAACTGTTGACGCTTCGCGCATCCCCCAGCCCATCCAGAAACGATGCCCAGGGGAGTTGAGGTGATCAGGGAAGTCGGGGAGCATGCAGAATAACAAAGGGCGGGGGAAGCTGTCACGTACCCCAAGAGGGGGAGGATGGAGAAGGAATCCTCGTCGGAGGGGGAGGGGAGGAAGAGGAGGAGGAGGAGGAGGAGGAGGAGGAGGAGGAGGAGGGGGAAGATAATGAGGAGGAGGATGTGGAGTACGGAGAGGACGAGGAGGACGAGAAGGAGGAGAAGGAGCAGAGGGAGGAGAAGGAGGAGAAGGAGGAGAAGGAGGAGGAGGAGGAGGGGGATGAGAAATTGAAGAGGACGGCGAACCGAAGAGCCAGAAACGTCTTAAATGCATTTCGGAGATCCTCTTCAGACTTCTTGGGGGTCTCTTGGGAGCCTCTTGGAGGCCTCTTGGGCGCCTCTTGGGGCCGTCTGGGCGCCTCTTGGGGTGCTCTTGGGGCGCTCTTGGGGGCTGTAGGGGCGCTCTTGGGGCCATCTTGGAGGAGATCGATCAACGAAGGGGGGTTCCCCAATTAGCCTCCCCCCTCAGGAGCTAGAAACATCGCCTCTTGGGGCGCTATTGGAGCGCTCTTGGGCGCTCTTGGGGCCGTCTTGGGGCTCTCTTGGGCCTTTTGTGGGGCCCTCTTGGGCCATCTTGGAGCCATCTTGAGGCCTTGGATGGCCATCGGAATCGAAACGGGGAGAAAACAAACAACATTGACTTTCGTAAGGTTTTGGGACGATTTTGGCCTCTTCGGGGCCTCCTTGGGGAGCTCTTTGGCCACTTGGAGCCGTCTTGGGGCCGTCTTTGGGCCTCTTGGAACATCTTGGGAACCATCTTCAGCGATCTGGCGCTATCTTGAGCCATCTTGGAGGTTATCTTGGGTTCGCTGAGGCGCTCTTGGAGCCATCTTGGGCCATCTTGGGCGCCCCAACGACCCGCGAAACCCTCCGTCCAGGTCCAGGGGGGGGGGTAGGGGGAGGGGTAAACCCTTCCCCAAGGGGGAAGAGGGAGGGGTGGAAGAGGATCTGTTCTAGACCACCTAAGCCCAGAGGGCTGGTGGGATATCAGCCGGTGCGCCAGCGATACGCCCGTGGCCGTCAGTGGAGATGTGCCGCGGCTCGTGGCGCACAGTGAATGATGCCTACGTATGCCTCTGTCCACAGCCTCTCCTCCTCTCCTGTACTGTACAGGAGGTTGGAGGTATCAGCCGGTGCGCCAGCGACTGCCCGTGGCCGTCAGTAGAGGTAAATATCAGCCGGTGCGCCAGCGATTGCCCGTGGCCGTCAGTGGAGATGTGCCGCGGTTCCATGAGATCTTTCCCACGACCTGGGCACTCTTTCGGGGCTCTCTCTCCTCCTCCTGTGTAGCCTCCTTTTTTATACTCGGGTGATGCAGGAGGTTGGAGGTATCAGCTGGTGCGCCAGCGACTGCCCGTGGCCGTCAATAAAGGTAAATATCAGCCGGTGCGCCAGCGATTGCCCGTGGCCGTCAGTGGAGATGTGCCGCGGTTCCATGAGATTTTTCCCACGACCTGGGCACTCTTTCGGGACTCTCTCTCCTCCTCCTGCGTAGCCTCCTTCCTCCGAATTGCATGGCCTCTGTCCACTGCAGCTACATAATTTGTTGCGTGACGCAGACAATGACTGTCGCCATCTGGACTCAAGCCGTTTGCGGCGCCGAGCCGGCGCCCGCGCGGCGCAGCCCGCCAGGCGCCCGCGGCTGCGGCGCCGAGCTAGCGCCCGCCAGGGCCTCGGCCGCCATGGTGAAAACGGCTGCGCAGAACGCCGCCGTACAGGCGAAACGCCTCGCGGGCCCTCGAGAGCCCCGCGAGCGCCGGGCCCTCAGATGGCGACGCCGAGCGTCGCGCCGGCGCCCCTTGGCAGCCAGGGCCGCCCTTGCCCCGGGCGCCAAGGCCGCTGCCGCGGGCGGCGCGCCCACCCCCCCGGCCACCCGCGGCGCGTCCACCTGGCGCGGTAGCGCCGCCTTTGGAGGCTGCGCGCACGCCCCGGGCTCCTGGGGCGCAGCCGCCGTGGAGCCGCAGCCCAAGGGCCAGCGCCAGAGGCGCGCCTGGGGCCGAAGCTCGCCGCCCACCGCAGCCGGCCGCAGCGCCGCCGACGCACGCAGCAGCAGCACAACCGCTAGCAGCAACAACGCCAACAGCAGCACAAGCTGCACCAGAAGCAACAGCGGCAGCGCCGGCAGCAACAGCGTCAACGGCCCGACCGCCACCAGCAACGGCCAAGGATGCCGCGCCCAGGCCTCTGCCCTTGGGCCAGGCCTCGGACGCCGACAGCGCCGAAGCGATGACGAACACGAGCGTCCTGGTCTACGTTCTAGTGACAGGAACCATGAGGCACCTCAGCTACGGCGGCGAGAAGAAGGGCAAGCCGGCGTACAAGGCTGAGCGTTCCCGAACTCCGATTAGCGATGCGTCCATGCCTATGCCCCTCCTGTTTTTGTGGTTTTTGAATATGTTTACATGATCCGCTTGGGTTCCACCGAGCCCCCGCGACATCTGCGACGTCCGGAAATTCCACCGCGCCTCCGCGACGTGTGCGACGTCCCGACATGATCGGCCCACCCTGGAACGGGGCCCGTTCTCGCCCTTTGGTGTATTCTGGGACGCGACGCTCGGAGTTCGGCGCGCTGCCAGGCTCTGTTCCGCCGGTCAGAGGTTCGCGGCCGCACCGGGCGGGATCTGTTGGTCTGCGCGAAGGCGCCCCGCGAGACGTGGCTCGACGGTTTCGCTTACCTCGAGGACATCGCGGAGCTCGAGAATGTCGCGAAGCGCCGCGAGCAGCAGCAGCAGGCCGGGGAGTGGGCGCTGGCGACCGCCGCGCGGCAATTAGGCTGGAGCTTCCGCGGGGTCGCTTGGGGCTGCGTGGCGGCGACGACGACGACGACGGCGACCGCGGCAGCGCCGGCGACGAGGAAGCGGAAAGGAGAGAGGAGAGGGAAGGGGGGGATCGGGGGGAGGGAGAGAGGGACAAGCGAGGAATACAGAGAAGAGAGAGAGAGAGAGAGAGAGAGAGAGAGAGAGAGAGAGAGAGAGAGAGAGAGAGAGAGAGAGAAAAAAAAGAGAGAGAGAGAGAGAGAGAGAGGAGAGAGAGAGAGAGAGAGAGGAGAGGAGAGAGAGGAGAAAGAGAAAGAGAAGAGAAGAGAAAGATATAAAAGAGAAGAACAGATATATATATATATAGAGAGAGAGAGAGAGAGAGAGAGAAAGAGAGAGAGAAAGAGAGAGAGAGAGAGAGAGAGACATAGACAGAGACAGAGACAGAGACAGAGACAGAGACAGAGAGAGAAAGAGAGAGAGAGAGAGGACAAAGACAAAGACATATATATATATATATTATATATATATATATATATATAGAGAGAGAGAGAGAGAGAGGAGAGACGAGAGAGAGAGAGAGAGAGAGAGAGAGAGAGAGAGAGAAAAAAAAAAAGGGGAGCAGAGGGAAGAGCATGGGGGGGTTAGGCCAGAGCATTCTAGTAGAGCTACTTGAGCTTACTGCTGGTACGGTCGGCGGAGGGGGCCTCCGCTCGAGACATTCTCGGAACTCTGCCCCGGCGGGGCTACTAGTAGGGCTACTTTGGTGTACTCGCACGGCCCGGGAAGGCTGGCGGGGGCGCACTAGCGGGGCTACTTTTGCCAATGGTACGACCGGCGGAGGGCGCCCCCGCTCGAGACGTTCTCGGAAGTCCGCCCCGGCAGGGGTACTAGTAGAGCTACTTTCGCCTATTAGTACGGGCCCCGAGGGGGCTGGCGGGGGCGTGCTAGGGCTACTTTGGCCTGGTGGTACGACCGGCGGAGAGGGCCTCCGCTCGAGACATCCTCGGAAGTCCGCCCTGGCGAGGCTACCGATACGGCTACTTTGGCCTACTAGTGCGGTCCAGAGGGGTCTGGCGGCGGCGTGCTAGTAGGGCTACTTTGGCCTACTAGTACGACCGGCGGAAGGGGCCCTCGCTCGAGACATCCTCGAAAGTCCGCCCCGCCGGAGCGTACTAGTAGGGCTACTTTTGCCTACTAGTACAAGCAGCGGAGGGGACCCTCGATCGAAATATCCTCGAAAGTCCGCCCCGGCGGTGCTACTAGTAGGGCCGAAGTAGCCCTACTAGTACGGACCCGGGGGGGATGGCCGGCGGGGCTACTAGTAGAGCTACTTTGGCCTAGCAGTACGGTCCTGGGGGGTTGGCGGAGGCGTACTAGTAGGGCTACTTTGGCCTACTAGTACGAATTGCGGAAAGAACCCCCCCCCCTGAGACATACTCACAAGTTCGCCCCGGAAAGGCTACTAGTAAGGCTACTTTGGGCTACTAATACGGTCCCTGGGAGCGTGGCGGGTGCGTACTCGTAGGGCTACTTCGGCTTACTAGTGCGACCGGCGGAGGGGGCTCCCGCTCGGGACATCCTCGAAAATCCGCCCCGCCGGGGCTACTAGTAGAGCTACTTTGGGCTCCTAGTACGGCCCCCGGGAGCTTGACGGGGGCGTACTCGTAGGGCTACTTTGGCCTACTAGTGCGACCGGCGGAGGGCGCTCCCGCTCGAGACATTTTGGAAAGTCCGCCCCGCCGGGGCTACTGGTAGGGCCGAGGTAACCCTACTAGTACGGACACGGGGGGATGGCCAGGGCGTACTATTAGGGCTTCTTTTGCCAATAGTACGACCGGCGGAGGGCGCCCCTGCTCGAGACATCCTCGAGAGTCCGCCCCAGCAATGCTACTAGTAGAGCTACTTTGGCCTACCAGTACGGTCCTGGAGGGTTGGCGGACGCGCACTAGTAGGGCTACTGTGGCCTAGCACGAATTTCGGAGAGAGCCCCCCCTGAGACATACTCACAAATTCGCCCTGAAGGGGCTACTAGTAGGGCTACTTTGGGCTCCCACAACGGCCCCCGGGAGCTTGACGGGGGCGTACTCGTAGGGCGGCCAACTACTACGACCGGCGGAGGGCGCCCCCGCTCGAGACATCCTCGAAAGTCCGCCCCGGCAGGGCTTCTAGTAAGGCTACTTTGGTGTACTCGTACGGGCCCCGGGGGGCTGGTGGGGGCGTGCTAGCAGGGCTACTGTGGCCTACTAGTACGACCGGCGGAGAGGGCCCCCGCTCGAGACATCCTCGAAAGTCCGCCCCGGCGAGGCTACCAGTACGGCTATTTTGGCTTACTATCACAATCCAGAAAGGGGTCTGGCGGGGGCGTGCTAGTAGGGCTACTTTGGCCTACTAGTACGACCGGCGGAGGGGGCCCTCGCTCGAGACATCCTCGAAAGTCCGCCCCGCCGGGGCGTACTAGTAGGGCTACTTTTGCCTACTTGTACAACCAGCGGAGGGAGCCCTCGCTCGAGACATCCTCGAAAGTCCGGCCCGGCGGTGCTACTAGTAGGGCCGAAGTAACCCTACTAGTACGGACCCGGGGGGATGGCCGGCGGGGCTACTAGTAGAGTTACTTTGGCCTACCAGTACGGTCCTCGGGGGTTGGCGGAGGCGTACTAGTAGGGCTACTTTGGCCTACTAGTACGAATTGCGGAGAGAACCCCCTCTGAGACATACTCACAAATTCGCCCTGGAGGGGCTACTAATAGGGCTACTTTGGGCTACTAGTACGGTCCCTGGGAGCGTGGCGGGTGCGCACTCGGAGGGTACTTTGGCTTACTAGTACGACCGGCGGAGGGGGCTTCCGCCCGAGACATCCTCGAAAGTCCGCCCCGCCGGGGCTACTAGTAGGGCTACTTTGGGCTCCTAGTACGACCGGCGGAGTGAGCCTCTGCTCGAGACGTCCCCGAAAGTCCGCCCCGGCAGAGCCCTGGGGAGGGGGAGCCTGGTAGGGGTACTCTGGCCTACTAGTAGGACCCGCCGGGTCGTACTAGTAGGCGTACTTCGGCCCTAGGAGTACGCCTCCTTCGCCCCGCGGGGCGTACTAGGCGTACTAGTACGACCCAGCGGGGCGAACTAGTAGGCGTACTTCGGACCAACGAGTACGCCTCCCGAGCGCCGCGGGTCGTACTAGTAGGCGTACTTCGGCGTACTAGTAGGACCCGCCGGGTCGTACTAGTAGGCGTACTTCGGCCCTGTGTGTACGCCTCCTTCGCCCCGCGGGTCGTACTAGTAGGCGTACTTCGGCGTACTAGTACGACCCAGTGGGGCGAACTAGTAGGCGTACTTCGGAGCACCGAGTACGCCTCCCGGGCGCCGCGGGTCGTACTAGTAGGCCTACTTCGGCGTACTAGTACGACCCGCCGGGTCGTAGTAGAAGGCGTACTTCTGCTTTACGAGTGCGCCTCCCGGGCGCCGCGGGTCGTACTAGTAGGCGTACTTCGGCGTACTAGAACAACCCGCCGGGTCGTACTAGAAGGAGTATTTCTGCTCTACGAGTACGCCTCCCGGGCGCCGCGGGTCGTACTAGTAGGCGTACTTCGGCGTACTAGTACGACCCGCGTACCTATAGTAGGCGTACTTCGGTACGAGTACGCCTCCCGGGCGCCGCGGGTCGTACTAGTAGGCGTACTTCGGCGTACTAGTACGACCCGCCGGGTCGTACTAGTAGGCGTACTTCTGCTCTACGAGTACGCCTCCCGGGCGCCGCGGGTCGTACTAGTAGGCGTACTTCGGCGTACTAGTACGACCCGCCGGGTCGTACTAGTAGGCGTACTTCTGCTCTACGAGTACGCCTCCCGGGCGCCGCGGGTCGTACTAGTAGGCGTACTTCGGCGTACTAGTACGACCCGCCGGGTCGTACTAGTAGGCGTACTTCTGCTCTACGAGTACGCCTCCCGGGCGCCGCGGGTCGTACTAGTAGGCGTACTTCGGCGTACTAGTACGACCCGCCGGGTCGTACTAGTAGGCGTACTTTTGCTCTACGAGTACGCCTCCCGGGCGCCGCGGGTCGTACTAGTAGGCGTACTTCGGCGTACTAGAACAACCCGCCGGGTCGTACCTTAGTAGGCGTACTTCTGCTCTACGAGTACGCCTCCCGGGCGCCGCGGGTCGTACTAGTAGGCGTACTTCGGCGCTAGTACGACCCGCCGGGTCGTACTAGTAGGCGTACTTTTGCTCTACGAGTACGCCTCCCGGGCGCCGCGGGTCGTACTAGTAGGCGTACTTCAGCGTACTAGTAGGACCCGCTGGGTCGTACTACTAGGCGTACTTCTGCTCTACGGGTACGCCTCCCGGGCGCCGCGGGTCGTACTAGTAGGCGTACTTCGGCGTACTAGTACGACCCGCCGGGTCGTACTAGTAGGCGTACTTTTGCTCTACGAGTACGCCTCCCGGGCGCCGCGGGTCGTACTAGTAGGCGTACTTCGGCATACTAGTACGACCCGCCGGGTCGTACCTATAGTAGGCGTACTTCTGCTTTACGAGTACGCCTCCCGGGCGCCGCGGGTCGTATTAATAGGCCTACTTCGACGTTTTAGTACAACCCGCCGGGTCGTACTAGTAGGCGTACTCTGGCGTACTAGTACGGCCCGCCGGGAAAGCCAAACACTCTGTGTGGGTAACAAAGATGCCGACCGCTTGGCTACACATGTTTTAACTTTTCATCCGGGCCTGCCGCCTGCGGAGCTCGAAGAGCTCGACGCTTTGGTAGGCACGATGCGTAAACAGGTTTCGATGTTCGCAGCTATCTTATCGCTTTTCCCGAAATTCGTTTTCTGGCGGGACCCCACTGGACCGCGGCCCAGTACCCTGCGTGCCCACCAGTGGCACGATTGGGTCGCTCTGGACTCGGACGACCCCTAGGATGAAATCGTGTCCAGGTGTTCCAAATGTTGTCAAGTGGCGTACTGCGAAGAACGACCGATGCTTGGATGCAAGGGTCTTTCTACCGCCCCTCGACGCCTGCATGGCGCG